GGGGGGGGGGGAAAGGGGGGAATGGGTTTTTTTTTTTTCCCTGTTTTAAAATTTTAAAATTTTAAATTATATATATATTTTTTTCACACATCAGCCCCAATTAAATATTCCTAATTGAATTTATATATTTTTTAGGTCAAAATCCCTAATTAAATTTAGGGAACTTTCATTTTAAGATATAATTTACTAATTTGAAAAATAGGAATACAATTTCACCTAATTAGCATAAGGCGAAAGACCAAAAAGTAATACATACTTTTACCAAAATAAAATCAAAGAATATTAAAATTACAACATATGCCATTATGCCATTATTATCAAATTTTAGTATTTAGTTTTAAACCAAAACTTACTGCGTCAAAATGACATCAAAAAACCCAAAACTTAATAAGAAACAACAGACACTCAAATTGAATCATAACCCATTCGTGCGACTTTTCATCTTCAACTCCAGAAACCGCTTCAACAGTTCTACAAAATTCCCCAAAATCTCAGACGATTGTTCGCACCAACGACGATGACTACCAACGATCGAAGCCGATTCTTCATTCTCTCTTTCGACAGATAACGGTAAGGAAATCAAAGCTCTAATACCTACTCTTCATTCTTCATTTTGCAATGTAATTTAGGCTTTGGGTTTAGTTTTGGTTTCAAAACCTCTAAAATCTAAAAAATCACTAGAGAAAGAGAAAGAGACGGAGCTTGAGAGAGGAACTCTTTTCTTCATTGCAGAAAACGAAAAATGCACGGTTTAGTCTCTAGTTCTTTAGGGTTTAGACTTTCCTAATCTTTCCATTTGGCAATGAGATAGAGCTTGCTAGAGAAACGCTTTTTGGCATCATTCACAGTGAGAGAAGAAAGCATATATCTGTTTTCTACATTGCAGAAAACATAAACTGTAGTGAAGTTTATGTTTTGACAGAGGAGGGGGAATGGTAGAGCAGAAGATCAAGAGCAGGAAGAGAGGTATGGGTAGAATGAAAAGAAGGGGTAGGTGGAAGGTATGGATAGTGTGTCGGAGAAGGTAGGTGGGGGAAGGGATGAAGGAGAAGGGGTGGTATAGAGAGGCGGTGTGTGTTGGGTGAAATGATGAGTGGGACGGGTGCGAAAAGCAAGCTGACATACAGAACGGTTGAGAGCCGGGGAGGCTGATGTGAGGAGTGGGGAGGGCGGGTGGGAGAGGCCAAGACCGCTGTATGCGGTTGTGGCTGGGGGGAAGAGAGGGCGGGATGGAGGTGTATGGGAAGTAGAGGCATAGTGAGGAGGTGGGGCTGCCAGAAGGGAGAATGAAGGAGGAAGGGAGGTTGTAGCAGGTTGGGTGGGTGGAACGGTAGAGGTGTGGGGCTGGATGTTGCGGAGTTCGTCAAGAATGAGGGACTGAAAAGTGGATAATTGGTTGGTGAGTTGAGTATGGAAGGCGGAGTTGGAGGAGGAGAGAGAAGTGAGGGAGGTTTGGATGTCAGTCTGATGGGCTTCGAGAGAAAAGACAGAGTCGACAACACCGTCAAGTTGGGATTGGAGGTGGTCATGGCGACCATCAACGGAGGTGGCACTGAGGTCCTTATCAGAGATCGAGAGATGTGGGGTTTTGTCCATGCGGGCTCTGATACCAGTTGATAAGGTCTGGCTTTACAGAAAGACAGAAAATAGCAGAATAGTACAGGAAGACGTTAATAAAAGAGTAAGGAAATGAAGGAAAGTTTCAATTGTCATTCAGCTTGTGCCAACAAACAGCTCATTACATCTTTATAGATAACCCCAGATGATTGGGAACAGGTGGCGACAATCCCAAGGTAGATCTGCTACTCATTGTTACTCTCAGTGGCCTCGTTTATTTAATGAGAAATGAGACTTGGGAATGAGAAATCAATTACTTTCCCATGTTTGGTAAGTTTATAAATGAGAAATCGTTGTCTGGCCTATGGGAAAGTTAGGGGGAAAGTGAAGCCATCCTCCCAACTTGAGTTTTGTTTTCCCTCATCATGGGAAAGTTTGGGGAAATGAACCAACATTAAATAAACATTTTTCATGACCATTTTGTCCTATTAACAATTTAGAATTACAGTATATTATTAAATGCATTCTTTTTTTATTTAATTTAATATGGGTATAATTAAAAATTTGTACAAACTTTGTTTTCCATTCCTACTCAAAACAAACATGGAAAAGGAAATAAAGTGTTATCTCCCGGTTACTTTCCCAGCATTACCAAACGTGGGAAATGAATCTTCCATTTCCCATCCCTTGGGAAATGACATGGGAAATTATTTCCCATCAAATTCATTCCGTGAACCAAACGAGGCCTTAGTGCTAAGGAAAGACAGAGGACACTGGTCCCATAACCAAGTGGGCCTTCGAGATATTGGGCTTGCGGGTCTAAGAGGAGAGGCTGTACCATGGATGGTCCGGTTTGGCACAAGGGAGACAGCTAGCTATGGACAACTGTTATATTGGCTGCTTTCTAGCAAGTATATTGGCATGTCTTGTTAATTGATTTGATTTTAACTTCATCCTAGGTTTATGTTATCCAACACGACACTTGTATTTACAGATGGAACTCTACTGTTATGCTAATTTGGATTTTGGGCAGGTCAGCAGTTGTCCAAAGCAGGTTTTCTCAGATGGTTGCTCGCGTCTGTCCATATGGCCTAGTGTACTTGGACACTGGGATCTGGGCCAGAGTAATGTAATAAGCTGCCATCTCGGAAAGGCATTATCCATATTATTCAGGTCAGTTAAAAAGCATGTTTTCTGTCTATAGTAGTGTTGTGCATGGTCATGACTCATATCCTTAGTTAAATGATTCTTTGATCTTTGATGGAATACCCTGCATGAGTAGTGGCTCTTTTCTTCCATTTGGCTTAGTATTGAGCGTGCCCTGTATTACATTGGTCGCTCTTCTTCCAAGAAGTCTTGAATTATGAGACCCAGATATAGAACAGGCCATCTTGACGGTTCTATTTCACCCTCAAATCAGACCAGTTTGCATTTGTTCTGTTTTTTGTTTCTTTTTCTTAATGTTGGTTTAGAACAAAATAATAAACCACCAAAAAAATGATATTTCGTATTTTTTAAGAATAATTTGCAGCATGTCAAATTTTTGCCGTGAAGGCCACCAGAAATGTTAAGGAATTTGTTGGAGAAAGATGGATATGAGAGAATATGGAAGTGAGTTTTTAAACAGAAAACTGAAGCCTTATTGATTTCCTAAAATTCATTGCAAAACTAGGCCATCTTATTGGCTATTTATAATAACATTCAGACCTTTTCATAACAAACGTAACTCTCGGATTAGTTCCAAGAGTTGCAGACACAACTCTAGACTTCTAATGAGATACAACTCTTCCTAAACATAGCTCTTCTCAAGAGACACAACTCTATTTAACAACTGATACATCTTACAAGGAGAAAATGCATTACGTTTAACGCTCCCTCTTAATGCATTTGTCCTGCGACATTTAGCTTTTCTCTGAAATAGTAGAACTTTTCTCTTGGAAGTGCTTTTGTAAAAACATCTGCAATCTGCTCATTAGTACCACAAAATTTCAATTCAATCTCTCCATTTTCAACCAATTTTCTGATAAAATGATGACGAAGTTCTATGTGCTTTGACCTACTATGAAAGACTGGGTTCTTTGTCATGGCAATTGTGGACATGTTATCATAGTACAAATTTGTTGGAGTGTTTTGTTCTTGATGAAGATCTGCTAATATTCTTCTAATCCAAACTGCTTCACATCCTGTACTTGTGGCTGATATATATTCTACTTCGGCTGTTGATAATGCCACTGTATTTTGCTTCTTCGACGACCACGATATAATTTTACTTCCCAAGAAAAACACATGCCTAGATGTGCTTCTTCTATCATCAATTGCACCA